TGACGCTTTTTCGTTCATGACTTTTTCTTAGCAGACCAAACCGCGCCAAATTTGGATATGTTTAACTAGAGCATATTTCATCCTACCCAACACTATTTGACTGCAAAGCTGCAAAATCCAAAGATAGAGCAAGGTGTTTGTTGTGGTAGCAGATCTTGCTAAAACTAAAGTTGTTGACTTCTGCACTTATTCGCACCTTATGTGCGTTTTTCTCATCTATTGTGTTCGCCGTTACCGCTCGCACACTTTAGACATGACGAAAAGGAAAGAGATTCTAGAAGGGCCATATCTGCACTTTCAGTCGATTTTGAGTTCATGCTTATTGGATATGGAACATGGTCAGATTGCAGGTTAATAGTGGTAAATATTCACAATACACCCACGCTCCAAATATAGAAATTTCGCATGAATAGATCCAGTAGGAAAGGAGTTACGACTGAAAAGTACGGCTAAAGAACCATTTCACCGAAGACTTTTGAGCACTACTGTGGCCCGATATCGCGCCATCTGACTACATACCACCTGTTTAGGTCTTAGCAAAATTCCTTCAAAGGAAAATCATTCGATTCATTGGAGGACTGCAAAACGCACCTAGTGGAATTTTTCAATTCTAAGCCTAAAACCTTCTGTGAAATAGGGATAATGAAACTACCAGAAAGATGGCGGACCATTATAGAGCAGAATGGATAATATATTGTTCAATAAATGTATTTAATCTTTTAGAAACCTTCACACAAAGTCGACCCAGAAATCGGCACGAACCCTTTGGACAACCCAATACGTTTTCAGCGCTATCATATTAGAATTAGAACTCAGCTGAAACCAGCAAATTCGGTTTAGTCACGTTCTGCGAGTCTACTCAGGAAATGGAAGGTTGGGAACAGCTATAGATCTCCTTAAATACGTACCGGAGCATCTCTGAATGGAGTCATTTCAATTGAACATGAGAAATAAACGTCGTTCGGACCAGGGAATTTGAAGGCTGTTATTCGAAAGAAGTAGTACATTATTCCAGATGGATCTTTTGTTCTGTTCAGCGGTGAAGCAAACTGAGGATGACTTGCACACCTAAAATGAGGAGTAACCGCGAAAAAAGATTCTGGAGACAAAAAATACTCAGTTATCGTGATAGTAAAAGTGGTAAAGATAGTGAATGGCATGAAAACGTCTTTACAGCATATACTCTGTCTTCGCATTATTGCTACTGACAACTGCTTCACTGTAAGCATATGAGCTGCTTCTGCCATCACGCTTAGCGAACTATCTGTGGAAACATTGCAATATTTTCCTGATTCAGCTTTTAGCCCTGTTATAAGGATCATAAAAAGCCAAAGCTTCTGAGATGGAGTGTATCTATAAAGTGATCCACTCCTAAATACAGTTCTTCGCATTACTCGAGACTCTGCAAAGGAACTTCAACAGACCACAACACACATTTTTTGCCACAACTATTCTTGCTTTCGCGGTATATTTCCAAATTATCATTATTTGAGACTGCCGAGGCTTAAGAACATACCCGTTTTCATCGATCAGATCGATCTTCTCGTTTCCCTGACCATTCGATGCGAAGCATGAGTGGACAAACATGTCATATTCCTGGCTACCTTAACATGGATGGTCAACTGCAGGCTAAGCTTTTCAGACGGACACACTCGCCAATGGTCATAACTATTTCTATAGATTTCTGCCCAAACCACAAGTTTTTGCAGAGTGGGAGTGGCTCGTGTATAGCACGACTTAACTTCTCAAAAAGACTGAAAGGGAATCTAATGTCCGAAGAAATAGTCGCACAAACACTACGAATTTCCGACTCTACATCCAGACTGGATGAGAAATCCACATCTGTTACATCAAATACACATTTACTCGCTCAGCTCGCCATGAATTATCTTAATACTACTCGAAAGTACAATTAAGGGTTAAATTATTTCTTAAATTACCTCCAATGATGAACCTGTCACCCTAAATGGGAAAAAAAGACACTTCAGATCGAAAACCAATTCACATAGAACGTTATGGAGATCACAAACTCGATTTAGCTGATGAACACACCCTAGGCGGAGTTTTCACTGCGTTGTAGAGACTGCGGAGGTTGCACCATTTGCACCGGGGAGGTATAGCTGCCACAGTATGAATGTGGGCAACATACTGTAGCTAGCTGTGTGCAATGAAACCCACATTTGGATAGCTCGTCCAAAACCCTCCCAACTCTAACTCTACTGCTTGTCTAGAGCATTACGTTTCTTGAACTACGCCTATTTTCGCGTTTTCTTTGCCATTTTTGCAGTATTCTGAATATCGCTTCCATTATTCGTCCCAAACTAGTACCCCAAAATTATCATAAACTGTGCCTTTGATTATGGCTTCAACATTGCTGATTTTCTCTGTTTTTTTTTTGTTGCGATTTCTTTTTCCAAAAGGAAGACAAGTTCCATCAATAACATATTTAACAAGCCATTTTCGGTGAATGACTACGCTCAAGCTGCTACTTCTGACTTCGCCCATCTATTTACAAATACCGAAAAGTGGGTATCTTTTTACACGAATACCCCAGGACCTTTACATAAACCGCTTACAATATTACCAATTTTTGTGAACTCCGTTGGAGGCAAGTTTAGTGGCGTCCATCGGAAGGCTACGCAATACTTAACATCTTATACGAGCTCCCAAGGATCTCACGGGGCAGCTCGTGATTTTTCTTCCATTATCATGAATTTATCACAGATTTCAATAGGAAACGACATGACTGCGAAAAGACAGGGAAATAGTTGCTAACACAGAAGAACAAGCTAACCTTTCATTTGGCTTTTTGATCGGACTACCAGAGTGATATTGTCACCAATCTTCAAAGGTGAGTTAACTGCGGGTGCGAAGGGTCCGTTTCCTTGTTGGACTTCTAGAGAAAGCTCAGTTGGTGCGTGATATTCCTGAGTTGACACCAGCCTCGAGGTGACCATCCTAAACAGAGAGATTAAGAAGTAGTTTCAATGAAACAATTCGTTTTTGATTGCTAATCAAGGTTTCATGAGAATCGGCTCGTTGAGGACTTCTGAGGGACTTCTGCGATACGAGATAACGAGCAGAAAAATAAAGCATCAAATGCAGAACTTGGCTGAATTTCTCCATTCCGCGCTCTCGCATTAATTACAGTATTTGCCCCAGACGAAATTTTTTCCATTCCTGTGGAATCGCTACTGTATTTGTCACTAACTACTACAGCGTTTCGTCTATGGAAGCCTTTTCACTTAATCGAGAAAACAAACTTCGTTCTTTTGAACCTCTAGAAAGTTCTCATGTACTATGCAAATATGAAAGACTTGAAACCTGTATGGGAATCTGCAGGGTTGAATTTTCCAGCAATTTCTGCTGAACTTCGTCGCTGTTAAAGCTCGAAAACTTCACTATTCTGTTAACTGCTGTTTTATCGCCGCATCACGCGTTGCGACAGTCTTACAAGGTTGGCGATATATGGACAAAACTTCAATCTCGGACGGGACTCGAACTCGTACTTGTGCTTTCCGGGCACGGTGCTTTATCTCTTACACTACCGGCTCAACACGTTGTTCGTGTGAGTGCTGATAAGCTATAGCATAAGAGGGCGAGGGCAGGCGGGGTCTCGGTAGTGTAAGGGATAGTGCACGGTACCCGGAAAGCCCAAGTACGGGTTCGAGTACCGTCCGAGACTGAAGTTTTGTCCATATATCGCCAACCTTGTAAGACTTCACTCTTCATTATAAGCGGACATGGGGAAAGGGGGGAGGGGGAGGGGGAGATTACCGACGTAAAATTGAATTGAAGCTCGATCGAACTCTGGCCAAATACCCACTCAATCGCTACTACGATTCTGAACAGTAGCCGAGGCACATATGCATCCCAAACCAGTTTGATTCACGGCAAAAGGCTCTCTCATATCTTGCCGCTTAATCGAGTGACCCCACTTATTGAAACTATTATTCGCGCTTGGCACATTCACTGCTGGCGTAATGGTTGCTGGTGAGTTGCATACATGCATGCAGTGAAAAGCATGCGGCACATGTTTCTTCAATTGATTCTGACAACCAGCTCTATGTTCTTGTTGGAATGCATACACCACTTGTGCTTAGCACACAGTGAGCGTCTTCGTGCTCGAGAATGTCTGAAAGAGAACAGAAATAGAAGTTACCCGTCACTTGACAATGCTTTTTCATCCGTGTCCGTTTTGAAATCGACGTCGACTCGAGGTTGCTCTTCTTTGAAAACCTTCGCCTTCTCAAAACGATGGTTGGTGACTTGGTCGACGACTGCTGGGTAACTCTCGTTAAGCGAGTTTCCCGTAAATTCTGGCTGCAGTGGCGATCCAGGATAAGGTTTGTTCCACGGGTAGGCAGGAATCTATAAGTGCTAGAGTGTAAGAACGTGTGATATCTTATCTTAACTAGATATTACAGCTATTAAGGAACATCAGATCTTTCTTGCATATATTCAATCGACAATGAGATCTGCTGTCTTTATGTTGTTATTTCTATGGCCTAGTGTCCACCTCCCCACTTCGACAGCGTGCCCATTGCATGTTAGGCACAGCTCACGATAAAAATGGCTTCTAGGATTTTTCCCTAGAATGAACCTGTGACCTTCAAGGATAGCAGCAGTAAGGGCTCAAAACCGGCTCGACCGACGCACACACCTGACGCTTTCAGAGTTGGACGAGTTCCCACAGTCTTTCGAAGACTGTGGCGGTAGCGCCATTTCTGATGGCACGCATACTTTGTGCGTAGGCACCTTACTATAGGCAATTACGATGTTCGCAATGGCACACACATTTGAACATCTCGTCCAAACACCCCTTCCATGCAACTTTTGTGCCACATTTCCGTTCAAGCCCTAATTTTACTATTTTTTTCAGGGGTTACAACTCTGAAAGCGCCGATTTTCGCGTTTTTTCCCTATTTTGTACTATTCTGAACTATACTTCCATAATTCGTCTGAACCTAAATACCCCACTATTGTCTTGAACTGTGCCTCCACGAAAAATGAAACAACGTTGGTGAAACGTGCGGAACAATGGATAACGAAATATGCCATCGAGCTTTCTTTCAGTGAGCGAGCGAAGCCCTGCACATATAATGAAAACGGAATTAGAAACATCTGGATGGACGATGGGAAAAGGAGGCTGCAGTAGAGCATGATCTATAACTGTATGCCAGAGATCGGAAACACTCGAAACGTCACTACTTTATGCGAGCCGATTCGATTCGTACGTGCTGAAAGATTGATGGGATCAGACTATTAGGCTCCTCAGAATGGATTCTACCCTTGTTAAAGAGCCTGATAATCTGATCTCTTCAACCTTTTAAACGTCTCCGATTAAATTTCACGTGAATCTAGAAAACCATGAAAGATCGATTCCACCACCAATGGGCTCGCTAACTCTACGAAATTCGACAACCTTGATATATTTGCGAGGAAGTGTGGGGAATAATGGACACTTTTGCATGCGCAGAAGGTATGGAATTCAAACAGAACAGGAAAAGGAACTTTTCAGATAATGAATGTACTCACTTGAGTCGGAGGTTTCCTATGAAGTGATGTCGCTGATTCTGTAGTACTTTGGTCTGTTTCTATACCATGCCGTGGTTCCTCCGGTGTGACATAGAGCCCAGTTTGCGGTTCGGCAGACTTCTGTGCAACTTGTGTGACTGAAAGACTCCTTAAGACCCCAGGAGGGCTGGCAGCAGTCTTGACCGGCTCCAGAAATATATTTGGTTTCTGCACTGATTGAGTGTCTATTCGAGCTGGAACAATTGCAGAGCTCAAGTGATTTGAGAGATCTTTAGAATTTGTGACAGAAGGATTACGTGCTGGAGAAATAGCATATCCATCCGAGCCTTGAATTTTGGCTGGAAGATCTGCCGCTGCAGCGAATGGTGGCGCTGAAAACGATTAAAACCACTATGATGAAGAAACGAGTGAAAACGTAGTCAAGAAAGGGGGATCTTTCCCAACGCTGAGTGCTAGAGCGCAGAGATGGAAGGGAGGCCGACCTTGCGAGTCCACAGTGGTGCTAAGGAACGTTTCTTAACAGAGAAATATAGTTTTTTTTTTTTGAATGAAGCCTTAACAGAGAAGAAGCATCGGGTTGGGCGGGTCAACGAATTGTTCAATTCTTACCTGATCCCAGCTCTTGCCCAAGATTCACGGGATCTCACACACCCCGATGCTCCTTCCTTAAAATAGTATTTTCTAAAAGATAAGAATTGCATGCTTATGGCCAAAAACTTTTTCCAAGCACAAGTATAGCCAACTACCCATCCCTCTCTGCGCATGCAGGAATGCAGTTCCCATGCAGAAAATAGAAAAACAATCGGTGTTGGGATTCTATGAAAATCAAAATCATTGGAATACGTTGTAAGTAAAAGACAATAACCAAAAGCTCGTACCTGATTGGCCCTGAGGTACTATTGGCTCAGGAAGAGGTAAGCGTGGCCAACTTGCGACTGGTGCAACCGATGCTGAATAAGGGCGAGCGCCTGGGATTGGCCAGTTGCCAAAGTGGCCGTCGACAGAAAAAGCGGAAACTCGGGGAATCGATACCTGAATAATTATTCGTTGGGAGGAATTCTTTTAAATTCAATACCAGTTAAAAACCGCTACTTCGCGTTGTTCACAAACTTACTCACAAATAGCTGTAAGCGAAAGCACTACTAGAAAGCAAATAACCACAGTAGTCTTGGGGTAAGGGACTGAGCGGCCCTGCCCATTATTTTGAAATCAATAGACATTGGAAACTCAATGGTTTGATCACAGCAGAACTTGAGGTTGAATCGAGTTTCCAGTAAGGGACGTCGGACTAGAACTTCAAAAGAGCGTTGTCAACTGGGCGGTCTTATCTTGTATCTATCCACCAGTCAAATCCGAAATCGAAGTTATTTATTCGAAACGAGACTTATATTGCTATTCGCTTCTAACGATTTCAAGTACGCGTTCCAGATTTGCCAAACGATTTTGTTGAAAGTAGTAATGGAAGTGGTTTAGATGGGTGCTTAGTATAACCACTTACATGAAACAATATGTTCAGCTAAAGAAATCCAATTTCGAATGACCATTTGCACTTGGGATCCTCCCCTTGTCAATCATTGAGAGTAGAACATGAAAGCTTCAGGATGCGCAGGAATATAGCATCTCTATTATGTTATTGATAGCGCTGCTTTCATACCACAGTTGATGGGAAGTAAGTTCATAGTGCATTATCTGATAGTAGTCGAATTGAATGCCCGCCTTCCAGGTCGACCGTCGTTCATCCCTCGGAATCAATTGATTTATTATACCAAATGGACTAGCACTGCGGTTTCTATTTTCCCATAGTTGAACGTTAATTCACAGATCACGACCAAACTAGGAAAAGCCTTGGAATAGACCGCCAAGGAATCTGAGAACAGTTCTGCAGCTCGAGTAGTACATGACTTTCCCCAAGAGTTATAGGCAATGACTGACAGCGTGGCTGAACCAATGCATGTCAAACTTTGCTCATAATATGGGAAGAATCAAAATATGGACTGGCACCAATATAATACTTTCCAGAAATTCATAAGAAAGGAGCCGCTTTCAAAGCATTGATCGTGTTTTGATAGAGCAACGGTGGAAACTAGCTTAAATGAACTTACACCCTGCACCGGCCGCACATGAGTCGATACTCGAAACTGTGATGGCTTGATTGCTTCGGGAGCTGTTGCGTAACTGTCAGAAACAGACGATGGAGCAACTGGGTGACGGCGTATGCTGCAATGTTAAGTAGTCCCTACTTCGTAAGCCGATTCTGCACCAACCTACCTTGATCCTTCCGCTTTAGCACCAGCCAACTGACAAACGAACAAAAATTGTTGATCCTGAGCCGTTTGTGCCTCGTGTTCCATCTGCACGTATACACGACTTTCCATCTGATCTACTAACTAAATGGGACCTTATTAGCTTATATCAACGAATAGAACTCAGTAAAAATGTATTCATGAGATAAGGGTTAAGCCCTCGTTTCTGACATCAATCGCCAGAGCGAAAAGTGCTGGAAATGAACGCTGAAGCGTTGAAAAAAGAATGAAAGAGGGGAGATAATCCTCGAGCTGGCCACGACCCACGACCTGCCGGCCATAGCTATGGAGCTTTCCAGTGAGTTGAGAACTGAGAGAAGCGCAGACCCTACCAATTAGCATTTCTCAATTGAAGAAGGCTTTCCGCCACCTCCCACAACAAGTCTTCTGAAGAGTGCTTCGAGGACGGAACGTTCTACAGCAAGCCAAGGACCGTCATACCCACCCCTACCAGTTTACCAAAAGCGATAGACGCCTTTGTTGGACCAGGGACCAGCTCTGAGCCCGTTACTCTTCCAACTAACGCTGGCTGTCATCACAAAAGGACTTCTGGCTGTAGCGTTGAAGACCATCCTCTACGCTGATTACGTCGCTCTGATTGCTAATAGCAGACAAGAACTACAGAACTAGCAGCAGAAATGGCAGAACGTGCTGGCGGAGAATGGTCAAGCGTAAAGGAGACCGATTCTCCAACTCCTAGGAGTGCACGGGATCACTCATGGGTTTTTTCAGAGGAGGGAGAGAGAGGGGGGGGGGGGGGGGGGGGGGNAAGATTTCGTGATGAGAGACCCAGCCAAAGATGGACGCGAGGACCAAGCTGTGAGGACTCGAACAAGTACGGTATTGATGGAAAGAAGGGAGTTTATGCGACCATGGTACTTCTGGCTCTCCAGAATCGTCCGATAAGGGATGCACTGGAACTCGAAGCTCAAGGGAAGCTAAAATAAGGAGTGCCAAAGAAATTCAGTAACAGCAGAAGATGCCGAGGACAGAGGGAAGTGGTTACAATATACAGGGACCCTCCCTCTCCCCACGACAGCACGGGATTAACTCTGGGGAGAAAGAGAAGAAGAAAATTGGATTGACTTGCTTGGACAAGGTTGGTCAATAGCACAACTTATGGCCGAGCCGACAACCATGAAGTCGTGGCAAAAAACCATAAGTTTAAACGTATATGAAGATGAAAAGATAATGGTTTCCCTGAGTTGATCATTACAAATTTGGAATGTCCCGCGCATTCATTTTTGGTCAGAATCGTAGTAGCGTGCGAACACATGGGATTTTCAAAATAACTTCTAAGAACTAGGCAATGTGCAAGGTTGTGTTTGCTATTAATACATGTTCGGTAAAATTACTGACTATGAAGGGATGGGAAATTCGTTTGTCTTACGCTGATACCGTTTTGCCATCTTTTCGTTCGCAGGTTGTACCAGAGAGTCACATAAGCCATCCGCGGAATCGGCTTGACGCGGACTGTATTCTCGAATATGACAGGCAGACAATAATTACTTCCCTATTATGCAGCCGAATCTCGGTCATGACCTCTTCCCCTCAAATAACTGTCTCAAATTACCTTAGCCGACATGCCCATTCTGCATCTGCCCCTAACTCAGTCATGAATCTGAAGTGCCAATAGTTCCATGAACATATTTGACGAACTTCAATCCTGAAATTGAGCAGGGGCACTCGATACCGGGTTTGCAGACTGCCAAGATGATGCTTTGCAATTTTCGCTTTCATCGCGGGTTGAACTCAGACACCTCTTTCTGCCTTAAACTTCAGGTCAGTTGTAAAAAGATACCTTAGCAAGATAGGCTAGATACTTCTTGCCTTTCGTCAATCTACTCATCCTCACTAGCACCGCAAGTGACCTTGTAGACTATACCACACACTAAGGCATCACCCATACTGCCAAATGGACAGTCTGAGGTGGTAAACAGCGATCGTGAAACCGGCTTCATTTTGCAGTATGGTGCGCTTCAATGGCAACAAATTTTTCCAAACATGACCTTTTCAGACACGACATATCACTTTGGGTGACATTTCTGATTCAAACTGTATCCAGCAAACTGACGATTTCGTTCAGCTATTACGCAGTTGCGTTTCTGAATGAGAAAATAGTCGTCAACCCATGTGTGATTTCTTGAATTCTTCTCACAGAAACGGCATTTGGTTAACCAGCAAAGACTGCCACCAGCTTCCATCATCCATATGAAAAAAAAAATCACCGCGACCAAAGGAAACCTCTACTTTCACCGGGTAGCGCCTACTGCAATTATCTACAAGCTGGAATGGGAAGGTCGTCTATCGCCGAGGAAAGAAAGAGTGTCATGTCACAACAACGAAATCATGCGCAAGGTTATACACAAAGGAAGTAATAACAAGAAGTAATCGCAGAAACTAGAAGCATCAAATAAAGGAAAGGAGTTAACATCAGAGAAAAATAAACAAATTGCACACACATTTCGGCTCGTCCGAGTGAGCCGCGTTCCGCAACGATGCACAGGAATCGAGAAAAGCACGTTTTCTTGGTTCTGTCCATCATAGTAGATGCACTCACGCACTGTGGCATAGTCCGGAGAATAAATTTTGCCGGAAAACGGACCATCAAAAACGATAGAGGAGGTGATTCCTTGACTGCTGCACATAGCCGATATATCTGAAACTGCTGCAAAACTACCAGCGGCAAGATAATGACACTCTTATGTGAATCTAAAAATTCTGAAGAATTCGAGCAACATCACTTCCTGACTTATCGTCAAGTGCGAGTGAAAACAGAGATCAAATTACTTATAGTTATTGAAAAATAGATAGTTTAATAATACACTAGTTACCATGTAACGCAAGTTTGAACAGATATAAGTTTGGGGTTCACGGAAATGATTTTCAGTTCTGTTTCAGTTTGTCAGTGAGTTTCGCATTCGGGAAAATGGCAGATGAGGGCTAGCTACTGCGTCGAGGGCTACTGCAGCAGATCTATTAGGAAACAACCGTCATACGTCGTACGGACCTAAATTGGTAGGTTCTAAGCATGTTAACTGGAAAATGAGGGTCTCTAAAGAGAGACGGTCGAATAAGGCTCTTCTGACATCATACTGTGGGCCTCAAAGAGCTCGGCTGCGAAGGTCTTTCTTTTGAGCAGGCTTGTACGGAGGAAAATTCCACTATATGGCTACCTAAAACTTCCCCCGATTCGCGCGAAGAATTTCAAAAAATTGGCATTCGCGTGCCGGGCATTCAGCAATTATTCATCGTCTTCATATTTAGTTTCGTTCAAAATGTCAATATCCCAGCGGAATAAATGTGTTAATAAGACCATTGCGGCTTCTGCTCCTCTAATCTCACTCTAATCTAAATTCGATTCCTCTTCATTTTTAGCTAGAACTTTTGGTGAATTTTCTCTAAAACAAATTTTCACCAGCTGCCGTTTACGAATTTTTCATGTAAGACAGGGTCTAACCACATTCTCGAAATGAACATTTTATCATTGAAATCACCGATACCTGTGATGGCCGTTCTCGTCGGCACGACATATTCTCCATCGCATAGCTCAAAGTAAACTAGGCATAGGAAAAAGATATTCAGAAGTCGCCTGAGGTCGACATACTGCAATGGCATTCGAGAATGTAGACGACGAAAACTGCAACAGCCGATGGCCTTAACTCTGGAGAGGTAAATCTTGATTGTGCGGCCCTCCCACTTCTGTAACCTGCCACGCATACGCGGGATCCGCCCACAGTTCCGACCCGCACCACAATTATCGTCGAGGGCACCGAAGGTGTGACTGCCTGTCAAAAGGATGCAAACCATTGCATGGTTTGTATTATGTTCCATTCTTATTATCCGAGTGAAAGGGTAAATAGAACTCTTCGAAAAGGACAGTTCGAAGTATTTGCTGTGGCTTTAGCCCTTCTAGCCTTATCAGTCCCAACTGTTATCACTCCCTATCGCCAATCGTCGATGTCCACAACATGTTCCTGTATCTCTTAAAAAATCAAGTGTTCTGGGCCAAGAAAAACAGAAGCTATGAAATTCTGGTTAAACTCAACAGATGTACCTGGCGAAAAGTATCAAGTGGTATTATACTTGTTGTCATTGTCGGTGAGGAGAAAAAACGGATGAAAAGAACACTCGTGTGCTACTACAGCCACGCAATAAACCAAATATACACCACTGGTCCATTTTGCATGGAGCATAGCAGGATTGTGTGTTTGCTGTGACCCTAAATCGTTCATATGAAACGCGGAAGACAATGTTCAAAAAATGGGGCTTGCCATCATACTTTCTTGTAACTCCCTTAGGAGCCCAGTTTTGAGTACTTAGGTATGTCCATGTTGTGACTTCCTCCTCACTAAAAGAGAGATTCCGAGGTTGGTCAGTACAACAAATGCGTGTAGGTGGTGAAGTGAATCGATATTCAATGAAGAATACCCTGAAGAAATTCGCTTAAGGACCCAAGAAGTGAGGCTTGGTTCTATAGTTAGTTTTGAAAAGTACGAGTAGGATTCGGTAATGTGACTCTTATATGGCAGTACCCTATCTCAATTGGTGGGGAATAAGCGTCGGGAGGGCGTCATTCCTCCGTTTTCACTTACACAGAAACTTACTTTGACTTCACTAAGGAAACTCGAGTGTTACAAGCAACTATTATGATCTCTGCCAGCTTGCGACCCTTAAAGNTTAAAGATTCTGCTTAGCTTCCTCTGGTTCCTACTTCTCGAAGAACTCACTAACTTCTGAAGAGGCGTGGTTGTCGAAACATCATTTGAGTACCTTCAAGATAAATAGCGTGACAATGCGTCAAGCCAATCCCCGTGTTCCTGTACAGTTCCATGAGCATTAGTGTACCGACAAGTCATATTACGACTCTTTTTAGCATAATTCAATATCCTTTAGAATTACGTCCACAGCGGCAATAAGTTATTATCGTTCTCAGAATCTCCCTATAAGGGCAGTACTAATGGGCAATTTTCGATACGGTTCCGACTTATCCCTTTTTCACGAAACATTTCGCTGAGAGCAATGCTTAACCCATTGACGACACCTTGACGCGCATGCGCGGAAAGCCTTGCAGACCGCCAGGAACCGAGTGACGCGCGTCAAGGTTTTGTCACCACTCATTTTTTGCGAGATCGCAACTTTTTACAATTTTTCTGTGTTTTCTCAATAGACAAAACCTTAAGACTTCTACAAACAACATGGTCCATAATCAGAGCAAATATGGTTTATTCCGGCAAAGATTTCCCAAACCTTGTAAAAGTCCCACCTAAAACTGAACTTTGACTTCTTTTTCAGGACAAACACATAAATAAATCATAGAATTAATCACAAGTAATTAGAAACAAGGCACAACAACTTCAAGAGATTACATTTCTACGCGACAAGACTTGTGTTGTTTATCGAAACAATCAATCCAAAATAATTCTTGAACCTACTGCAACGTGTGTTGACCCTTTTTGTTTTTTTTT